ACTATTACACAATGGAGGAGGCATTTTGCCAACCCTTTCTTTCCATCTTGAAAGTTTTCTCTTTTGCGTTACAATCAAACTAATTATACGTGTCTAAATAGGATTATTTCATTTCAGCAATGAATGTTCTTTCTAATTTAGTTATTTTTGTAATCGTCAATTCCCCTTTGTTTCAATTATAGTAAACAAAAACAAACGGAACTCTTCTGACGTCCTTTACAATAAAAAATGTTTACTTGTAAAATAGCGATATATCTTGGTACAATTAAGAGATCAAGATAATAATTTGTTAAAATAATTTATTAAGATGTGCAAAGTGTTTCATTGGCATTCCACAAATAAGGCCGAATAATTGCGATTTTTTAGGATTAAAACTAAAACTAAAATTAAACTAAAACTTCTAGTACTTAGAAAACAAATGATCCTTTTAATAACTTTGCAATTATTTTAGAGATTAGATAGAAGATAGAAAAAGCATTGTATGTACACAATTTGATCTTATAAAATAAATATCTTTGAAATATATAATATACGGTGACCCATTAGCAATCTAATAGACTTTTTAGAAAACTTAGGCCTCCGTTTACTTTAACCAAAAAATTTTGTGTTATAACTGAAAACTTTGGCTTCTCTCGACCATTTTTTTGACTCAATAAATTCACGATTCGTTTGCTCAAGGGTAAATAATTGTCCATCATGGACAGCGTGGTATCTAAATTCAGCATAATCATAAAAAAGAGTGTCTCAAATTTAGAAAAAAATGCTTCAAGAAACTAAACATTTTTATGAATATTGATGGACGCATATAATTATTTAAAAATTATTATCTCTTATTTGACTTCCAAGGGAGAAAGGGATGGTTTGAGAATTTAAAAAAAAAGTCGCAATCTGCATAACATCTAATTAGACTGGGAATCGGCTTTCTCTGTTAACGATGCAATGAAAATATTTCTTGCTGCTCTTCATGAAATTATTAAGTCAAGAACAACAGTTAACTGCATAAGAAGTCTTTTCGAATAAGATGGAAAATCGCACGTATCTTTTTAAATCAGAAATAGAGGCTCCAGGACTCAAGGCAGCTGAAGATGGCGTTTCTTTATCGTTGTATACAAATACATGAGTTTTTAAGGTAAAGCGTATGCTGATTTACTGATCCCAAAATCCGAGATCACTGAAGAGAAAAACAAAGGTGGGTGCCTTATTAACAGATGTTATTTCATTCTTAAGTCAAAGCATGTCTTCCTATCAAGGTGTTTCTTCTCGTTGACATACGTCCAGTTTATTCGGAATTAATATTGAAAAAAAATAGATGGTATTTTGCCCATTATCATTACAATAATCGTTATTTAAATTGAGTAGTATATTATGAATCGGAAGAAATGGAAACGCCTATCTGTAAAAATTACAACATATCCAATGGCATATAAATATTTATGATAGAAATGTGTGGTGTTTAGTGACCGTTAGTCAATGATTAATCGGAGATCGTGAGATGCGGTCTGGTGTGAGGTAGGTTTTAGAAAAACGTTTTCTTTATCGTGCCAACGTTTCTATCTTTATTGCGATCATCTTCAGGGCCTGGGATTTATAAACATTGTTTACATTTTACAAGTACATGTAGGATGTGAAAAAACTGAATTTGTACACTGTTAAGAAATATTAGATAAAAAATCCACAATGCTAGAAAATTTTAGATTAAAAAAATGAATTTATACAATGGTAGAAAATGTTCTGCGTAATTGAGCCATTCTTGCGTGTCGTGTTGAGAGTGCCAGTGAGATGTTGCTGTTTTATGTTTATATACGTTGGATTTTGAAGGGGTGGGGAAGAAAGTCGGGATAGAAAGACATTTTTGTATGAGGAGTCGGCTTTTTTGAGGTGAAAGGAGGCGACAATGGGAAAAACGTGGGTAGTGGTTCGGCCTGATTATCCTTTCAGGATTATATAGACGGGGATAATTAGGGAAAGGACAGCCAAATTGTTGAAGTGTTAGACTATATAGAAATGTTTGATGTGGGGAAAGTGATGATTGTTTTATATGTTGTATTATGTTTTGTGTTTTTTCTAGCATTGTATAAATTCATTTTATTTATTTATTTATATTTTTTTAATCTAAAATTTCTAACTTTGAATAAATTCATTTTTTCACATCCTATACGGATTTCTAAAATTTAAACAATGTTTATAAATTCCAGGACCTGAAGAAGATGTCAGTAAACATAGAAACGTTGGCACGATAAAGAAAATGTTTTTCTAAAACCTACGTCACTCCAGACCCCATCTCACGATCTCCAAATAATAATTTATGATAGAGTAAGTATTATCAATTCATTATTTTGAAACCATAGTTCTACTCAAAATCTTATTTACTTTTTTTAATTCATTGGTATGAGTTTTTAATTGCATATTGATCAGCACGTATTCAACCCTTTTTCATTTTAAGGTTGTAATGAAACTAAAGGAATTCCTCTCGTACTGGAGGGCTTAATTTCCGACTACCGTTAGGTGTCGCGAAAGAGGGGTCAAACCACTTTCCAATAATTTCTTTATATTATTTACAATTAAATATCCAGGGCAATACCAGTCGGACGCTGTAACTACTCTTCTACTGCGGCCCCATAATTTAAATACTGGGTCTTTTTTTTTCCTTACAATCAGTAGGTATTTTTTAACAATTCGACTGATGCAAAGATGGCCCCGGGACCTCCTTGCAAATAGTACATAACTCAGATAGTTGGGAGAGCAACAATGGTTACTGGGTCTCTTCACCATATATGTAAATTAATTATTCTTTCTATGGTCTTGGTTGAGATAAAAAAGTCAGTGTCACGAGCGGGATTCGAACCGACGACCTTCAGCTAAATACGCCGCTACTCTACCACTTGAGCTATCGTGACATCGACCCTTTCGGACACCAACTCTCCACCGACATCCCGCTCGTGACACTGACTTTTTTATCTCAACCAAGACCATAGAGAGAATAATTAATTGATTGAAAGAAGTAACTTTGTCAATTGTCTAAACGTAAATGGATTAATACTTAAAAAGTAACATAAGTGTCACTTCACGAAACAGCTCCCCGTGGCCCCTTCATAAGTCGCTGAGAATCCAATCCGATAACACATTTGAAAATGGCAAAAAGAGTAGATTGTAGGTTTAGATGGAGACTTGGTGTCCGAGAGGATCGAAGTCACGATAGCTCAAGTAGTAGAATAGCAGCGTAGTTAATTCTTTCAATTTATTATTCTTTCTAAGTAAGGTCTTGGTTGAGATAAAAAAGACAGAGAGATAAAAAAGAACAAGTTCGTCTTGAATTTCTCTTTTTGTATTTTGAAACTGAATATATTTATTAGTGTGAATATGAAAGGATCGATGGCGGAATGTAGTGTATCATCGACTCTCAATTAGTCATGTACATAATATATATATATATATATATGTAAATAGGAAATAATGTATTTAAGTTAATCCATATTGCTTAATGGTCATAATTGACCATATTAATTATTCCAATTAATTATTCTTTTTATCTAATGTTTTTGGCTGGGGTGAAAAATTAGTGTCACGAGCGGGATTCAAACTTTCTCTTCATGCTGAATATACACGGGGGCTTTTGCGCAAAAGTAAGTATTCGAGAGTCAACTTTGCCGATTGCATTGTCGATACTTATGCATATTGGCATGAAATAGGTCTAAATAAAGGCATGCTGGAGAAATATCTAACCGTAAGTAGTAGAAAAGGATCCAACCGACAGAAGTTGAGAAATCGTCCGTTTATACATCAGATCGGATGTGAAGGGTTTGATATGGGCCGAGTCGAAATTAACGAATCTTTTTTTTGTATTTATTGTTTTTTTAATTTATTTATAAAGGCAATCACTAGGGTCATGTCCGCCTTGGTAGATAATATTTATAATGAAAGTTAAATTTTATTAGTTATGCTATTAACCCGCAAAAATTGAAATAGTTTGTCAATGTTCTCTTTTTGATTTCCTAATATTTGATTTATTGAATTTGATATATTTAAGATTCTTTTACTGTTATTACAGCTAGGGCAGTCTATTAGTAAGTGTTTTACAGTTAGGATTTCTTAACAGTTTTGGCAATTGGTTGTTTGGTTTCGTGACATTAAATAACCTTGAGCAAGACGGGTATGGCCAATTCTTAGTCTTGTTAACGAATCGTTAATTTATCATGATAAAGGGCTACCGGAGGAAGGCTTTTTAGAGCAGAAAGAAGAAACTAAAGAATCGGAAGAAATGAACCCCGAAAACCTGTATTCCCTTAAGTTTTTAGTTATTTATATGTAAAAAATTTAACGCAGGAAAAAAAATTTCAAAACAGTTCAGGGGGATTTTGATCCTAAGGGACTAACTTCTTCAAAAAGTATTAGATTTGGAATCGCCTCTACTATCGAAGTTGATATTTAAAAGGGAAGTCAGGTTTGCCACTAATCGATACATAGTAATTCTATAGGAATTAATTATTTGTGAAATATTAATAAATTATTTTCGCCAATATAAAAAATGTATTTTATTAACGTTATGTTTACATTTATGTTTATTAATGTTTTTTTTTCATTATTTTCCGTCATGAAACCTCACCCTTACACACAGAAAAATAGGTTGAACGTTCGCGGAATTATCATTCGCGGGTTTTTTTCTTGAACCTAACCACAGGGAAAGTTAAGAGATTGATGTATTTTAAAAGCCATACATTCTGCTCATCATGATAAAAACGCTCAACGTGTGATCAATTGCGCTTATTTGTGTTTAAATAAATTAAAGCTTCGCGATACCGATGGCATTGCCCTCGAGGTTATCGCAGAAGTCAACAGCGTAATTTTGCAACAAGCCATTAAATTCTAATGATAATTATAGTTTATAATGCATATGTTGTTTGTTTGGTCGTGACTGTTTTGGCTTGTTATGTATTGGTCTACTTGCGCAATCTGCCTGTGTGAAAAAGGTTGTTAATTTAATAGGAAAATGATGCAATATATTTAAATAAAATCTTCCAAAATCTTTTATTTATATTTTATACAACAGTATGTCATGCACATTTCTCAGTATCAGGTTTTACCTTAAACACGTTGAAAAAATGTATTCTTTTTTTGTCTTACATTTTTTAAATGTATTTCCATCAATTGAACACAAATTTTAATACTATACGTTTCTCCGTCTACAAAACAATCAATGCTACTAATATAAGTTTGTTTCTCATCGAGTAAATAAGGAAGGTACGGTTATTTTTTTTTAAACGTTCTCTCTACTAAAATTCTAAAAGAATTTTGGAATATTTCAGGAATTTTTGGAACAAAAATATTACAAAGAATTAACGATTTGAATATACACATTATACGCTTGACATTTAACTATACAATATACAATAATACTTCACTATGAAATTTTTTGCACTTAAGTTTTTAATATACAAACTCTTATCTTCAAATATATACAATCTCTACAATCACAAAAATGATATTTACAAGAGAAATAAATATATTTATATATTTTCAGTCTATACAAGTCGGGTATTTTTGTTGAATTGGGGGAAAGGGGCGTTGACGTCGGCCTCGCGATGAGGACTAAGTGGATGGAGGAGGCGGAAGGGGATGCTGCTGAGGCGGCGGGGGCGGCGAATGCTGAGGAGGCGAGGGCTGTTGCGGCAACAGGACCTGGTGGCGTCCGAGGATCGCCGAAAGGGGGTGGTGAGGTTGAAGTAGGTCGTGCGGCTGGTGAGGCGGCCCGGGGAAATACTGCAGGTGTGCAGCAGCTGGGCCGTACAGCGGATGATGAGGACGTGCTGCAGCGACGGCGGCCATTTTGAGCTTCTCGATCTCGGCCTCCTGCAACCTCTTCGCCTTCGCCCGTCGGTTTTGAAACCAAATTTTCACCTGCGCAAACAAATAAAAATCATGATATAGCGTTTTTTCATTTCACAAATTTTGTAAATATTTAAATTATTTTTAATTATAAATTTTTACAATTTTGGTCTAATTTGAAATGGAACTTCGAGTGTTCCATCCTTCCAATAAAAATCAATTTAAAATTCAAATCAACATTATTTCTTTCAGTTTTCAAGATTCCAGACTCTTTTTAACCATTTAAAAACTAATTGGTGGGTGGACTTGAACTCTATTCATCCGGCTCTGATGATGCGTACATAAATAATGCAAAAGCTCAACAAAATGACGTTTTTTTGCCCATAAATGTCAATACCCCTGATCAATTCTTCAACGTTTAAAAACTAATTGGTCAATCATCATTCCAACTCTATTAATTTTGCTCTGATGATGCGCAATAAATACTGCCAAAGCTTGAGAAAATTTTGGCGTTTTCTTTGACAGTAAATGACACAAACCTGATAATTTGTTCAAAATTTAAAAACTAATTGGTCAATCATCATTCCAACTCTATTAATTTTGCTCTGATGATGCGTACATAAATACAGCGAAAGCTTGACAAATTTTGGCGTTTTCTTTGACAGTAAATGACCATAAATCCGATAATTTGTTCAACATTTAAAAACTAATTGGTCAATCATCAGTCCAACTCTATTAATTTTGCTCTGATGATGCGTATATAAATACAGCCAAACCTTGAGAAAATTTTGGCGTTTTTTTGGCAGTAAATGACCACATACTGATAATTTGTTCAAAATTTAAAAACTAATTGGTCAATCATCTTTCCAACTCTATTAATTTTGCTCTGATGATGCATACATAAATACAGCCAAAGCTTGAGAAAATGTTGGCGTTTTCTTTGACAGTAAATGACCACAAACCCGATAATTTGTTCAGCATGTAAAAACTAATTGGTCAATCATCATTCCAACTCTATTAATCTGGCTCTGATGATACTTAAGTGTAGCGAAAATTCGAAAACTTACGGGCAATTTTATTTCCCTTGAATAATCAATCACCTGATTCTTTCTTCAACATTTAATATTAACTGCTCTTTAATTTCTACTGCAATCATCTGGTGGTGCGTACATAAGTACAGCAAATACTCGACAAATAGCTCAAAATTGGCTTTTTTGCCCATAAATGACTATACATATAAAATACTGTATTTTAGTTGGTTTCTAAGTTGGTTCGCTTAAAATATGCTCCTCTAAAATGTATGTACAATGTAAATGACAACAGTTCGTACACGCGTGTGCCACTTGGACGGTTTGGCCTTGTAGAAAGACTCAACCGCCTTGAAAACCTTATGAAATAATAATTATCATAACATTCTCTACATTTTAATATGTCTGAGAAATGTGAACGTCGGAGATGAACTAAGAAATTGAGAAAAACTTTGTTAAAGGTTGGGGACATACATTTTCCGAGCAAAATTTGAGAATATTTATTTTACATGATAATTCCAAAAACAGGTGTATAATTAAAAAAGAATAAACAAAAGTGATGTAAACAGGGAAGGAGTTTCAACCCAATAACTACGAGTAAGATCTCCATTAAAAACATTTAAAAAAAAATGCCTCGATTTTCCTCTAAGGCATATATTTAACACAAATTTCACGAGGGGTCCTAAATGTGCCTCATCCTCATGAATAGGTATGGGAATAGAGTCAAGAGGGCCGAATAGTTAAAAGTATTAAGGGCCCGTCTGGTCAGGGGCATAAAGGGACAATACGCGACCCTTGGAATTGCAGTTCATAAATTTTCTTTCAGACGGCCAAACGTTTTAAACATCACAGTCGTGACAAATTGCTTTCTTTTGAAATAGAGGAAAAAACCTTTTAAAAAAAACTCTGTGGTTACTCAACAGTGATAATTTAAAATTGTATGGGAAAAAGGCCTACGACCCGAGAACAAAAGAAATTTATACTATTTGGGATTTACAAATTCGTATAGAGTGAATATTTTGTTTATCACCTCAATGAGTTGGGGGACTGTAACTCATTTTAATTTTGTATTAAATATCGTGAAATAATCTCGAAATAACAGACATATAGGTCTTACATCAAGATGTATTTAACCTACTCAATAAACCGTAATATTATGTTAAATATATTGTGCTATAGCTACAAATGAAAAAGATGTCTTAATGTCAACGTGTCTTGATTGATTAATTGATTTGTATAAACTCAGCTCTGTACATACATGTATATACATATACATGAATACATTAATTGATATTATAACTTCAAATCACACACTTTTTCATATTTAACACATGCTAAAGTGTTCAGCAAGGTATTCCAATAAGTCTTTCTTCACGTTCTTGATTAACTATTAAGTGATTTTATTAAATAAAAAATGAATAAAAAGACAGAATTGTTAGAATATTTATAGAAAAGTGGTTTGATTGAAATGGTTGGACGAATTTGAGATTTTCTAGCTTTGGCCAGCTTTTTGATACTTTCACTTTTCAAAAATTATAAATATTGATTTTTATGTCTATTATATACCAATAAATTTGTTATCGGATATATTTTCGATATATTATATATTTAATTTTCTTTGGTACTGACAACAGAGTGTCAACGATTCTTTCATTTTTTGCGTGAACTAATTTCAATCGGTTTGACCTTTCTGGAAATTTACATGGCCAATAATTATTTTAGAAAAAATGTCTGCCCGATCATAATTGTTTTATTGTATGTTAAATAGGCAATAAACATGGGGGTCTTTTAGGGTCAAGGCGGCAACCCTTGGCTGCCGTTTGGACGGGTAAACAACGTAGTAACTATCATCCGTTAAGAGGGCCAATTTACACGGCTAATTTTCTAAACTTTTTTTGCACTTTCAACTCCGAACGTAGCGAGACGTTGCGGACGGAAAATTTTCTACTAAACCACGGCGTACCGAAGAAAATCAAAGATATAATATCGGGAAGACGGGGAGAAGAGGAATATTTCAATTTGGTTCTCCACGTGTCATGAATTTCATTTCCTGTTTTCTCTCGGCCGGAATAATCTAAAATTGAGGGTGAGAGGGAGAAAGAGATAGATAGATAGAGAGAGTGGGAGAATGCGATAGAAAGAGAAAGAGAGGGTGAGGGAGAGGGAGAGAGAGACAGACAGACGGAGAGAAGAAATGAGAGAGGTAGAATGATAGAGTGTGTAATTTACAGCATATATAGGAAGATGGATAAAGAGAATAGAAGATAAAGAGAATAAGTAGAAAGATAAAAAATGAAATAAAGACAAATAGATAGCTAGAGATAGATAGTTACATAAACAGATAGATTGATAGTCAGACGAGAGAGAGAGAGAGAGAGAGAGAGAGAGAGAGAGAGAGAGAGAGAGAGAGAGAATGAGAGAGAGAGAGAGAAATTTAGGAACATATAAAGACAGATTTAAAAATTTATAGATAAAAAATTAAATAAAGACAAATAGATAGCTAGAGATAGATAGTCACACAAACAGATAGATGGATAGACAGACAGATAAGTAATTAGGTAGATAGATAGAAAGAGAGAGAGTGAAAGAGAGAGAAATTTAGGAACACATGAAGACAGATTTAGAAATATATAGATAAAAAATTAAATAAAGACAAATAGATAGCTCGAGATAGATAGTCACACAAACAGATAGATTGATAGGCATTCTATCTAGAGAGCTTGAGACAGACACATAGATAGGGAGAGAGGGGGAGAATCCTAGCGAAAAAGAAATAGAAAGAGAAAGAGAGAGAGACAGACAGCAGAAATGAGAGAGGTCGAGTGATGGAGTGGGGATACATACAGCATATGTAAGAAGATAGAAAAAGAGAGGATAGAAATATATAGATAAAAAATGAAATAAAAATAAATAGATAGCTAGAGATAGATATACCCATAGATAGATAGTCACATAGATAGGTAAACACGTCGTTAGATGGATAGATAGATAGTCTCACCGATGGATGGATAGATAGATAGGTAGGTAGAGAGAGAGAGAGAGAGAGAGAGAGAGAGAGAGAGAGAGAGAGAGAGAGAGAAAGGCAGGCAGGCAGGCAGACAGACAGTCAGACAGACAGAGAGAAATAGTTAAAGAGAAAGAGAAAGAGAAGTATTATCTATCTATTATAGATAGATACAAATATAGAGAAAGAGAGTGAGCGAGAGATAGAACGAGGGCGAGAGAGATAGATCGAGTGATAGAGAGAGAAAGAGAGGGGAAGATAGATAATATATTGATATTATATAAGTGGAGAACGCGAGTGGCTGAGAGAGGTGTGCGGGGTGATGAACCTGCAGTATGATCCGCCTATGCTCATAGTATTGCCATAAGAACACAAACATACATTGAAAGCGAGAAAAAGCCTAATCCGTTGAATAGATCAGCGAGGATAGAACCAAAGTGGCTTGAAACATGGGATCATCACCCCGCAGACTTCATTTCTTCCTACATATCTCCTATTAATTTTTACGTTTGCTATTTTTCTTATTATTTTATTTTTTAAATAAATGTTAATAGAATTCAAAAATTAAATAATGTTTTTAAGCTTAAATAATTAGGCCCGTTAATTGCTAAGTTCTGGTGAATTTAAGTCAATCTGTGTTTAGTATCGGTTTTCTTTCTGATCATGGTAAAATTATAAAAATAATACGATTTTACATTTAAACAGAAAAAATTTCTGTATGGACTTCAATGCAAGAAGACAAGGCAATTTTAAAGAACAACCTTTTGGAAGTCGTAATTTATTATGTAATTTATAACGATGTAAAGCTTTAATTTATTATTTGCCAACTTGTCAGACTTTAACGCATCCAATTCCCCCCCCCCCTGTACCAACGGTAATTAGGAAATCGGCCAAAACCCCATCGGCCGCCCATATTGAAAATTAGACCGTATTCAACATTCTTCCTTTAAAGTGTTACAATTGACTGATATTAGAGAATCGGGAATACGGAGTCGGGTCCAATTATAACAGCCGGAGTCAGGAAGCATAATAGCTTTATTATTGTAATCGAGGGTCGAGTGCCATAAATAAAGGAGTGGCGTAGTCATCATAAATCTCGGGCTCGCCCATTACGGCGTCGACTCGATTAAATACCGGACCGCCGTTGCGTCTAATGCTGCCGATTTAATATATATATTTTTTTTAACTTCTTTTCTTTCAAATTTGTGTTGACATCGAATGAAAGTGCTCCCTTATTTAAATCCAATCCGTCGCTTTAATTGGCTCGACAAATGATACAAGAGCCCAACTGAGATTACTCCAGGTGTTAACAACTTCTTTTCAAATGCATAATCTGGACTTTCCCCAATACACAAAAATGGTTTTCTGTCACTTTTAATTTGCAGAAAGTAAGCTAAGCTGCCTAAGTTCAAGTATTTCTTCCGGAATTTCAATTATCGTGACGGTTTTTATTATTGTTTGGCTTATTAAGAAAATATGTCAATCATTGCTTTATATTTTCGTTATCAATCTATAACCTTCATGCAATACAAACGTTTATCACGTACCTAATTTATGTTTTCTTATTGAATAATCCTGTTAATACATTCATTAAAATTCCATATAATTCTAGGTACAGAATCGGACAAGAATATAATAAATAAATAAAAACTATCGGTGATTGATGGATAAGTGATTTAAATGTAGTCTTTTACAAATAATATATGCCTGGCGTTCCTTGGCTCCATATAGGGAGCGAGTTGGAAGGCCAATCGATATTAGGATTGCGCTTGATCACAGAGGCGAGTATTTGGGTCCCAGTTTCTATGTTTGTTTTATTGTATGCAGTTATAAGTCTCTTTTTATATTTTATTCTGTGGTTTTAGAGTGAGTGTATTTATTGGCGTGAGCGCTGGAGTATTGAGTACCACATCGCACTCCCAATCAGATTAATTAATATTCTAACAATTTATGACTTTGGTACATTTTTTTTTAAACAATAGTGTGTAATTGTAATAAAAAAACTTTATTTTAAACACCTTTCAAGTGTAATAAACAAATAAAAATGTCAGTGAGTGTTGAATACGTGTCTGAAATGCAGTATTTGATAAATTAGTGGGCAGTTACTAGGCCTTCTTAATAATCCAAAAATAACCAATAAGTGTTATTTTAAATAATTGCGATGATAAAAATCACAGCGGGTCGTGATGGTTGAATAAAAAAATTCAATAAGATAACACAGATTAGGTATGTATGATAAGTATGATTGAACACTTTTGGTCAGGAGAGATTGAATTGCAAATAAAGGGTTAAGGAATAAACGCGAAAAATTATTATTATTTTTACATTTAAAAACTCATAAAGTGTACTATTTAAAAAAAAAGTTTTGCGTATATCTTGTTGTTTTTGTCTAGGAAAATATACAAATTACTACGCTGAAATTACCGAAGCAGCTTAGATTAATTATCAAATAATTACTACGATTATAATTGTTAATGATTATTTATTTTTAAATAAACTTAATACAAATTTAGATCATATTTCTTTTTTTTTGTCCTTCTTAATAAACAACAATGGCCTATTAGCCGGGTAATAATTTATATAAACTTTGTAATACGTTGTTAAAAGCATGTGAAAATTGAACGTTGAATAATCGCTACTTAAGAATTATTAATAATTTGGCTGTTTATTAACCACTTTTAAATAATAAGAAAGTGAAGTAACAAACAAATAAGTTTTTCTTAAAAGGGATAAAATATTAAATAAACTATAAATTTATGTTTTATTGGCCTAATTGACCAGGTTACTTCTTTCAATTAATTATTCTTTTTTATCTTAAGGTCTCGGTTGAGATAAACTATAAAGTGTGAAAAGTATTTCCAGCGTGTATTAGACCTGTGAAGATTATTACCTGAGTCTCGGTGAGATGAAGGGAGCTGGAGAATTCAGCCCTTTCAGCTATACTCAGGTACTGTTTTTCCCTAAACTTCTTCTCGAGGCTTAGGAGTTGTTGCGTTGTGAAAGGTGTCCTCGGCTTTCTGTTGGGTTTGTGCTTCCTAAGGTTGCACTTCAGCTTGGGAGGTTCGCCGTTGTTGGGTTCTGGATAAACATAAAAACAAACGTTAATTAAGATATATTAAATGCAACGTATCAGTTAAACTTTTAATTAATACTAATTGTTATATTTAAAAAAAGAAGGTGTAATTATGTGCAAAGTTTTCCGAGGTCTCGCCCGGTAGACGCGAATCTCTTTGGGAATCTCTCGTCAACGTTTTTCATTTTAAGATTTACTTTTGGGTCTCCATTCTCTTTTTTACAGGTGTATCAGGAGGATGTCAGTAAGAATTATTTATACAATTATTCAGAAATCGTGAGATGCGGTCTGGTGTGATGTAGGTTTCAGAAAAACATTTTCTTTATCGTGCCAACGTTTCGATCTTTATTGAGATCATCTTCAGAGCTCAAAGTGTTTGTTTTCTATTTAACTGTCCACTTGAAAGGGGCACTTTCAACACGACACGCAAGAATGGCAACACCAGTCCGCATCTCACGATTTCTCAATAATCTTCGACTAATGGTCACTAATCACCACACATTATTTATAAAGCTTAATAATCATAACCGTGGAAAAGTTCACATCCCACAATATATAAATTGGCTTATTCAAAATCCATATTTATTTTCAAAACTTAAATATTATTCGTCAATTAAATTATATTGAGGGTTCTTCTTGAGCACTGAGTAGTGATAAACCTGTCTTTTAGTTGTTTCTGATCATTTTGGTCTACCCTTCTCTCTGTGTTATTTTTATTTCAAAATATATTTTTAAGAGAAAATGATAACTCACTGGTGGAGGTGTGGTAACACCATCCCACTTTTGTTAAAATAAAATAAAAAAGAAAATAGAAAAGTGGCATTGATGATTATCCAATACGCACAAAATTTGCCAACAATTTAGCCATTAATGTTGACAAGTAATTTGAATTAAATTAGTTTTTTTACGTAAATTGTATATATTCTGTAATTCTCTATGTTTATGATCACTACTTGATAACGAATAAAATTCTATATTTTTAATTTGAAAATTACCTCTTGTGTACGTGCAATAAAATTGTAAATCTTCAGCTTAAATATTTTTTCACTGTTGTAAATCGAGATCTTTGAAATTTTACGCGGCCTATAAGAGTTTCTACCGGCAAACCTTTATTCTTTCAGGTTTTTCTATTGCAAATAATTGTTTGGTGTTTGTTCTGGCTTGGTGCTACTACCTCTCCCTACTTATAACTCAGATACCACGCACTAATGACGCGAAGAAGTCCGGCAAGTATAAGCAGACCGATATGATCGGAAAGGTCTAAAGTAAACGTTCATGAAGGTAGTTATTAATAACATATTTTTTATATTTTAAGATTTTTCTTGAGGTAGACAGATTGATGAACTTATAGTTTTATCCTTTCCGTTCTAGACTGACAACCTCAACCAAAATAGTAAGGATAGGAAGATGTAAAAGTGCATGAAGACTCAGACCCATTGCGGAAATCTCACAATGCAATACCTAAATGACCGTTATAAATGGTATATTTCTATAATTTGAGATTTCTCCTTGAGGGCTACTGGATAATGAACCTGTCGTTTGATCGTTTCCGTTCCAGACTGCCAACCCCAACCAAAACAATAAAGGTGTGGTGCCTACATTGATCCGAAACGACTTAAGTACATTTTCATGAAGATTCAAATCCCACGAAGAAATCTCACAACCCAATAAATAATTATTATTATGGAGATATATTTCTATATTTTATGAGTCTTCTTGAGGTCTGTGGGTTGATGGACTTGTTTCCCATCTAAACTGCCAAACTCAACCGAAATAGCGATAGTAGACAGACCAAAACTTAAACACAAGTGAATAAACATTTGGTTTTTATTATTTGATTCTTTATTTCGGAAAGATAGTTCTTACAAAAGTTAGTTTGAAGTATAAAAGATCTTGTAGAAAACAGTGAAAAATATAACAAAATAAGCGTAATAATGAAGTAAAAGACAAGTAATTCCTATCATGCATGACATCTTAACGACCAACTATCCAATTGGGGGTCCATTTAACAATACTTTTTCCAAATTAATCTCAGCGAAAACGCCATGGAATATGTCGGGATTCGAACCCAGAACCGCTACGGTGGCAAGTACGAGTCGAATGCCCTAACCATTCGGCCACTATGGTCTCCTAAAGAGCAGACAGAATGCAGAATAGTTGAATTGAGCTCAAAATTAGATGAAACAAACAGTAATGCAATGGATTTTAAGCTTTAACGATCTTTTACAAAAAAGAAACACGTAAGACCTTTAGGATAAATTGTAAAATTCGATCTTTGCCAGTATGCAATGTTGCCTCGTCAATTTTGCAATCAGAGAGAAACTGAAGAGATTTAAAAACCTTAGAATTATTTTAACTTGAAAAGGGCTTTTTAGAAATATTATACTTAAGTAGTTCAAGGTTAATAGTGTGAAAATAAATTATAATAATTATCTTTCGGTTTTTTCAATTTCCTTTGATTCAGGAGACAGCAGAAATTTGCAAAATGGCATGACCGCGAATTCAATATTTATACTTGAAAACGAATTTTTAATTGAGAAAATAATAAAAAACGTTTATCTTCAATTGACTATTCCGTTTGTTATAAATAACGTGATTGATTCTTTTATCTAAACCCATTAAAACACAAAGAAATCAGCACTTCAGCAGCTGTACCGTTCGATTTGACGTCAAACTTTCGTAGTGGAAAAAACATTCCAATAGCACATAAGACAAACAGTCTGTATTATTAATAAATTAACAATTAACGTGACCTCAGATTAACTCGAGGGGGTTATCTCCGGGGTTTCACTACTTACGCACGAACCGACTTGTCCCCGAGTGGAAGGGGGGTTTTTATAAATCCTTAAATTGCGATAATCAACAGCAGACGGAGAAAACCTCTAATCTATATCGTAAATTAGTCAAGCGAGTCGGAATACAGAATTTTATGTAATTATTTTTACTCTCGAGAATGTTCGCGTTTAATGCCGTCCTAATTGGCGGCAGGCACGAAAAAATGTGTACATTTTGGAAGCCAGACTCGCCTAATTGATATGGCAATATAACTCAACTTATAAAAAGAAAAGACATTTTCAATTTTTTTGGTGCGGATTTTATTAAAAACGTTCAAATGCTTAAATGAATAAACAAACGTTTTGTTACTGATCGTTACGTCCCAGTGATCATTCTCTCACGCTCGGAATTATCGAGCGATTATGAAATTTAATTTATTGCCTGGCCGATAATTAAAATTCATTTTAGTTTATTAACTTTATTAATATTACCAGTAATAGAAGTAAAAGGACAATAAACATGTTTTACTAATGACAAATAGTTAACCGACATATAACCTCTATCAATAGTTATTATGGTCAGAGTAATAAAAAAATTAGTTCCTTGTTTTTGTCTGTTTGAATGGACAGAATAGATTTTTTGAAAAACAAATTAAAAACAGTGGCTTATTTCTCACGGGGAGACAATAAATTTTCTAGCGCGCCTAAAATTATTGCGTATTACCATATTTGTCCTTTGAATATGTGATAAATGTTTATTAATTACTTCCTTAACAACTTTGGCCGGGTTGTGGTGGGGTGGATTCGAGCCTTGAATAATAGCATTCATTTAACAATTAGCTGCGAAATAAGAGGTCATACGATAAATTCTATCGCTGATAATCAATGAAAACAAAAACAAAATGGTCGTGTCGCTTTTCTTTTTTAATAAGTCGAATATTTGCATATTTCGTTATATTTAGAGATGAACTCCGACGGATGATAACGATTTTTTTTTTCAATTTTAACATCTCGAGTATTTATAATCATAAAATCGATTTATAAATTCCGTTCTGGCAGAGATGGATTATACTGTCCGGTTATTTGACAGGACTTAAAATACTCACTATATGCTTATAAAGTTTAAAATTATTCAACCTTCAAATTTTAATCGTTACCAATAATTTTGGCCTTCTTCCTATCCTACCTGTGTTGGTCAGTCAGAGGCGTTTAGGCATTTCGTTCATTTACATTGTTGGGTCTGTGCGATTTTTGTGAAGTCAAGGCCCTTTCATATGGTCGTGATGGTGCCCGTGTTGACGTAATCTATGTTGCACCGGTGGCTTTGGTAAATTAAGTCGGGTTATTTTTATTGTTATGGTCTATATTTGTGATTGTCGGTCCTTTTCCTTATTAATTAGTACTGCGTTTTGATCATATAAAGCCAACACTGTAGATTGGTTTAAATTACGAACAGGTTGTCAGAGAGAGAGAGAGAGAGAGAGAGAGAGAGAGAGAGAGAGAGAGAGAGAGGGAGATGGAGAGAGAGAAAGAGAGAGAGAATGAGTGAGTGAGAGAAAAAGGAAGATATAAAGTGATACAGTGGGAAATTTACAGATTATGTAGATAAGATAGATAAACGGAGGTCAGAAATAGATGAGATTGATACAAAATGAAATAAAGACAAATAGATAGCTAGGGATAGATAGATACATACATAGATAGTCACACAGATAGATAGATAGTCTCACCGATGGATGGATAGATAGATGAGGTGAGTGAGAGAGAGAGAGAGAGAGAGAGAGAGAGAAACAGAAATAGAGGGAAAAATAGAAAACTTATAACGATAGACGACAGATATCTATATTGACAAATAGATAGAGGGATAGAGATAGATAGATAGATAGATAAGGAGAGAGAGAGAGGGAGGGAGATAAAGATAGAGAGATAGATAGATAGATAGATAGTTAGATAGATAGAGAGAGAGAGAGAATTAGGAACATATAAAGACAGATTTATAAGGAAAAAGAGAAATATATAGATACAGAAAGAAAGATAGATCGATAGATGGAAGGATAGATAGAGAGAATGTGTGTGTGAGAGAGATTCATACATAGAGGGAGAGGGGACAAAGAAAGAGAGATATCGTCAGAAATATATACAGCATATAGAGATAAATAGATAAATAAACGCCAGAAATAGATAGATAAATAATGAAATAAAGACAAATAGATAGCTAGAGATGGATAATA